AGTCGGTCAAAGTACCCATTACTTTCGGTTAGATAGCTGGCAAAGAATGTAGGATTCGAACAAAATCGCCATATTTAATATAAAATCCCCTCCATTGAACAAGTTGTGAAAAAAAGATGGAAATGAAATGGTAGCTGTTTTCCCACATAAAAGTAGCATATGATATCATTTTTAAAAATAGAACACACATCTGTTGATGACATCATTTCTAAAAATAGAGTATTGTCATTTCTAAAAATAGAACATTACGTCATTTCTAAAAATAGAACACACATCTGTGGCCACATCATTTCTAAAAATAGAATACACATCTACATATATTGATGACTCATGCCCTATTTAGTAATTTTTATAAATGGAAACGCACGTCCGCCATTACATATGAAGAGTGGGGGAATGCTATTATAAGTAAGCATCTAGCTGGGAAGGCCTACTGTGCTTCATGAATATCCCAGTCGAGATAAAACAGTGTTGTATTTGTCGTAAAATAATTAGCAAGCGATATGTTAATGATCCGTGGTTACAAAAGGGTAAAATAATAATAAATTACTGCAATAAAGACTGTAATCAAACAAGACCCGTGTGGTTTCTTAAACTATATGAGATTAAGTCGCAGAAATGTGGATGGCTTATGTGAAGGAAGTGGAAATAAAAGATCTCGAAAGTGGTGTTTTAAATTTACATCAGACGTTCTCGAATCTTCGATATGATATAGAACATGAGTCTATTTACGGAATGGATAAATTTTATACAGCAGAACAGTGTGATAAGTTGGCGCAGGAGTATGGAGACGCAGTACAAATATGTGAAAATTTTTTAGAAAAACATTGTACCATAGATGAACTTATCAATGGTCTTATAGATTTAGGTATGACGGGGATCCTTTATAAAATTAAACATTTACTGGAGAGCCACCTAGCCAATAAAATTCCTGAATGTGAATGGGAATATGATGACCAAGAGGAAAGCGATGTAGAAATGAGTCAGCAATGATCTTGTTTCTAATGTTTCAATTTAATAAATGATATTATAATCAAATTGTTTTATTATTCCATATAAACTACAACTACTATTAAATTTATTATCAGTTCGTCTATTGAAATAACAATGAACGCTTCACAGTTGATTGTGCTGCAAACCATTCTGAAAAGTTCGTTAATTATACAGCGACCTTATAACTCCAAAGAGGTATTTATTTGCTATGACCATAACGATACACGAAATGAGAGTTGGCCTTTTAATTGGAAAAGAATGAAACCTTTGACATATGATTATCAAGAAATGTTCAAATCTTCTATACCAACGAATAGTACCAGTTACAAATTGCGAATAAGAAGGGGTAACGACGTAATACAGGACTCTGATTGGCTGGAGCTTTATAATAAATTCCCCACTTCTAATAACACCTTAAATAGTGGAACTGGAAGAGGATATGAAGGAAATACCTTCTTGATATGGTACATAGCGATTTGTACTTCGTTGCTGCTGATTGTTACCAGTTTTCGAGAATTATGTCTGAAGAGCTGTGGTGTGCAAGATGTATAACTGGAGATTTGATAAGTAAACACCGAAATGGTAAACCCTTGAATGATTTTACTGAAGATGAGCTCGGACATTTTCCAGTACACTATCTGATCGAATGTGCTCGTCCGATTGAACTTCTACATTCATGGGCAAAGCTTCCGAAAGAATACAAAGAAAACTTCTGCCTACAAGTACAACTACCATGTTTTGTGCATTATAACCGCCCAGAATGGCACATCCACGTGGATGGACCTGCACCATCGCAATCTAAATGTCACATATGTAAATGGAGTCTTCAACAATATTAATTTCATGTAAACATATAAAATAAAAACAATTTAAAATATATTTAGCATTTTTATTTGAAATAAAATATTTATAATTCTATTATATTCATACAACCATAGTACATGTTTACAAATTTAACAGTGTTATATCAAAATCCTAATCTGTTTCAGCTTCTTCCGTATTTAATATTTTTTCAGCTTCTTTGATTAGTAGTTCCAAATTGTCATTCGTATCTAGTGTATAATGCCCCCAAGCCTTGGTTGTAACACCATTAGAATCAATACACCGTTTGTCATCTGCTGCAGAAAGAGCCACTTTGTTTTTTAATTCAGTGTAAATGGTATGCAAAGTGGATTTAAAAATGTACATTTTACGGAAAATGCTACCACCGTTGGCTACAATTTGGACATAATCAGAGAAATTTATTTCTTTCTCTATTACGTGTTTGGAAACTCCTTTCGCCTTCTTCATCACTTCACCAGCTTTTACGCAGTAGGCTTTAGCACCTGTACCGTAAAAGCATTCTATTGGTCTGCCAGCGTAGATGTCTTTCATCTTTCCCACAACCGACTTTGTCTTGATTATACCATGGATATTGTCTATGTCATAGTTGGAGGTATCGAAGTACTGTATCTTAATCTTAATGTCATTGTACGGATTATCCGTAAAAAATTCTAAAATCAGAGAGTCGGTATCGGTATACAAAACAGTAGCTTTATCACCGTACGTGGATTTGATGTATCCATAGAGAAATTCATAGATAATAGACTTGGAAATGTCCAAAATTGAAACATGTTTTAAAATGAGGCAGGGCTATTAACGCCCTGGTACCCAATTGACCTTTTCTGTTTTCCCAGCATGAGCACAACTTAATATTTTGCCTTTTGTCAACGTTCTCCATCGTCTTACCAAATACAGAATTAACCATTAATTTGAAGAGATCTTTCTCAAATTCATTTCTCGCAGAGTTTCGAAGTCTAGTGTTTAAATCGATATAAGATGCTAACCATGGTGATTGAGAAAATTCTAGAATTCTATGTATTTTTTTTAATTTGAGTCCATATTTTAAACACTGTTTTAAGTTTTTGTAGTGAATCACGTAATTATATTTGTTATGCAAATTTGGTATCAATTTGGAGAATTTAGATTTTGGAGGAGTCATTTGCTCTGCACAAAAAGGTAAGTCGTTATGTTCGTCGTGGAGACTCGATGGATATTCCAAATCTACTTCCAAAACATATCCTTTAGACGAATGGTCATCAATCGTAGAGCAATCAAAATTTTCAATCTCATGTTTCTCTAACCATCGAAAATGACCAGTAGGGAGGTATTCCTTCATAGCAGTACCATATAAGTTGGTTGCATCAAGGTACATAATGTAAGATGTAGGTTTTGTTGGGTCATAATTTGGTAAAAACTTATTGTTTGCCACGGCCTTTCTTTTACTACATTGAGACACNTTTTTTTAACACTACAGTTTTAACAACAATTGATTTGTTTCTCGCCAGGCACTACTGTTAGTTGTTGCTATTAATTCACACAATTAAATGACCTGGCCCAACTCTATATTCAAATATTCGAGCCTCACTTGGGCGCCAATGTAACTTGCCCAGCCAGCTAGCCCAAGGGGAGGAAAAAGGGGAGCGGGTTCTCAGGTCTTTGAATAATTTCTCGAATATTTGGATTTAATAGCATTTATTCATCATCTAAATTTACAATTCGGTCGCCTGTCAACTACTAACTCTACTAAGTACCCTCTAAGAAAAATCTTGGGATTCTTCGCCGTTGATGGCTACTCAATTCACCACCGTACAAAGCGGAGCACACTCACCCCGAAGTTCCCCGGTTTTCACCAACACTTTTTCTTCTTCTGGTTTTTTACTTCCTTTCCTTAACCAAAATCCAGGTGACACTCCGTCTGTCTCCACACACTGACATCTCGCTACCTCCTTCGATCAAAACTTAAAACTAGGAGTACAATAGGTTTCCTAACTAAACGGAGTAGGAGCAAGGTGCCCGTTACATGTTAAAAGATAAAATATTTGTTTCTAGATTTTTAATAAAAGTGAACAATTATATAGATGAAGAAAGTGGCACTGAAATACATGATGCTATCGAATCAGAAAATGTCCAACAGCATATATCTTATCTGAACAGTAATAGAGAAAGGTAATTATAAGTATTAATGTTATCACAATTTTTTTTTTAAGAACCAAATTTCCATAGACCTGATCAGGTCTATGCAAATTTAATAATGGTTCATATGTTTATATATCTGGATAAATTATGAACATTTTACTTTCAGTTGTGAACTGTTAAGCGTGATGTAAAAATAAAAGATAGTGTTTAATGTTATTTTATAAATACATATTTATTTTAGACAACAAATTCAAACTGCTGAAAAATCTCACGATTTGCCAGGCACATCGCAACAGTCGCAAAATGCAGAAATTTATGATGAAGATGAAATATCAAATGAGCTTACCCAAATAAAGAGAAAGAAATATAACCCCACATTTTCTGAGAATTGGACAAATATGTTTCCATGGGTTGAAGAGAAAAATAATGAATCGTGGTGTAAAGCATGTTGTATATTTTTAAAAGGCTCTGCCTTTCATCTCAAACGTCATGAAACTTCAACTATACATAAAAAGAAAATGAATGCAAAAAAAACAACACCTAATGTGCAAAACTTTCTGGAAGAAAGCAATATAAATTACAAAACATACCTTCAGGCTAAAAAGGCTGAACTAAAATTAGCAACATATATTTGTGAACATAATTTACCTTTTAGGTTATCAGATACTCTTCCTGAACTTTTAGCAGATATATTTGTAGATTCCAATATAGCAAAGGAAGTAAAAATGAAACGAAAAAAAGCTACCGATATAGTTACTAATATTTTAGCCCCACATGTTAAGGAAACTTTGATTGAAGAGTTAAAATCAGCAAAATTTTCATTAATATTAGATGAGAGTACTGACATAAGTACTACTAAAAATTTAGTTCTTGTTGTTAGGTACTGGCAGGAATCATTTTGCACAATTAGGGATAGATTTTTATCCTTGCCTGAAGTAAAAGATAGTAGTGCTGAAGGTCTTTTTAATTTAGTAAAGAATATATTTGATGTGCATGATATTCCATATACCAATTTGATAGGTTTTGGAGCTGATAATGCTTATGTTATGATGGGCAACATAAAAGGTTTAAAGTCAAAACTTAAAAATTTGTCTCCAAATTTAGTGTCTATTGGTTGCACTTGTCATTCCCTGCATTTATGTGCTTCCTATGCATCCAAGAAACTTCCAGATGAAGTAGAACAGTTTGCGAGGGATATATATAACTTTTTTTCAAACAGTTCTAAAAAACAGATAGAGTTAAATGAGTGTCAAGTTTTCGCAGAAGAAAAACCTACAAAAATTCTGTATCCAAGCCAAACAAGATGGTTATCCTTGAGGGTAATATTATTATCTTAAAAAGGATAAATTACTAATAATTTTTATTCTTACAGGCTGTGGTAAATCGTATTTTGGACCATTGGTCTTCACTTACATTATTTTTTCAAAGAGCTTTTCTTGAAGATAATTTACCAGCAGCTGAAAATATTCTGTTGGGTTTGAGAAACCCTATTCGTAAAATATATTTTAATTTTTTAAGCCATATTTTAGAAATTATAGCTAAAATGAATATAGAGTTCCAAACAGAAACACCCAAAATACCTCTTCTGTTAGAACAAATGTCATCCTTGTATAAAACAATTTTAAAGTTTTTTGTAAAACGATCGTTAATTGATAGAGCTGTTTCCTTAAATGAAGTAAATGTTAACGATCCAAACAATTATATTGCAATAGAAAATGTATATTTCGGTGCTAAGACTGAAATAATAATAAAAAATGATATGAACATTGATAAAAGGGAATTGCACAACTTTAGATTAAGGGCCCTTGAGTTTTATATTGAACTATGTAGACAAATACAAAAGAGGTTTGATTTTTCTGATCCTTATCTATTGTTTGCTTCAAAATTATCTCCAAAAAATGCTGTATCTGGCGATATATTATCAATATCTGAATTCAAGTCTCTTTTCCCTTACTTAGAGTTTGATCCAGACTTAGTCAATACCGAGTGGCAACTTTTATCCGATTGCTCAGAATTAAAAAAAATTTCGAATGATGATGTAATGAAATTTTGGCATACAGTAGCTAATAGTAGAAATGGTTTAAATGAAGCCATGTACCCTAATTTAGTTAAACTTATTAAAGTCGTTTTATGTTTACCCCACTCTTCAGCAGTATGTGAAAGACAGTTTTCTGCTTTAAATTTAATTAAAACATCGGTGAGGAATAGACTTAACACTATAACATGTGAAGCAGTTCTACACGTTAAAGATCAAATTAAAAACGGTGGGTTCAATTTTGAAAAAATAAGTAAAACGAAGCGTTCTATGTAATGATTTAGTTTATTATGTAATGATGTTAATTTATTTATGTATTTGTTTTTGTTATATTTGTACACGCAGGATCTATGTATGTACTTGTTATTTTTGTTTACATAAATATTTTGTAAAAATACACATTTTTTTTTAAACCTTATTAGTAAGTATATTAAAATAGATTAGATTTACAACAAAAACTGCATGGTTAAAATATTGAAACGTATCTTGAATTATGAATGGATATATATTTTTACTCATGCTAAACTGAAAAAGAAAGTAAAAATAGCTAATAATGGTACACAAGTTACTATAAGGAGGTTAGCTTATTTTTAATGTTTTATCCCTGTGAACTAAGTATACAATTATTTTATTTTTAAAATTAAGAACTTTTTCTCGCGAATAACCTCAAAGTTCAGGAATCTATGACCCACAGAACATTGTAGTCAGCTATGGCCTTCATTTCTTGTGATCTGTGATTCGGACAGAAAATTATAATCATAGATAGTAAACTAACCAAGAATTTTAATAAATACCACCGAAACCTATTTTATTGTAATAGATTCTCAAGAATCTTTAAAAGTTCTTGTTACATTAGATTCTATCATCATCCGCTAAATCGCAGCAGTTCAATGGATTAAAATATATGATTGTGGCAACACTGATGATGTGAGTACAATTCCTTAAAATTCAGTACAATTTGATCAAATTATCTAGTACAGTTTTTATTTGTTCTGGAGCAACACTGCATTTGACAGTGGACTTAATTTGGTTTTATAGTGTAGTCTGTATGTATTGTGTTGATAATAAATTATTTAATATAAACCGATCTTTCTAAGTTAATTTAATCGGTAAAATGGATTTTAATATAGATGTGAGAAAAAAGCAACTACAAAGTTTAGATCAATATATAACATCATCAAAAGATAAGGTTCAGTCTATATTAGATTACCTTGGATGGAATACAAAAAAAAATGTTGAAGTAAGTGATCTCAATCAAATATGTTAAAAATATTTTTTTTATATATTTATTTTTGCTTTAGAATGAACCAGAGGTCATGTGTTCAGTAAATCCAGGCCATATCGTAGCACTGAAAAATTCTGATGTTCATTTAAAGAAATGTTTTGTTAAAACTTCAGGCTACCAAAGTGATGAAGAGTTTCTGTCAGAACCAATTAATGATCCTCATATGTCTATTAAATTAGGTAAAATGTATATTTATTGTTACGTTGCAGCTTTTATATAACTTTGTTTCAGATCACACAAAGAAAATAGAAATTTTAAGTAAAGCCCGTCAGAATAATCAGAGGTTTAAAGCAGGTTTGTTTATAATTGACTTAATAATTCGTAATTAGTAAAAGCCATAACAAATATTTTTTTTCAGACATATATTTCATTTCAACCGATATGTCACTATTGAAAATTATTTCATCATGTAATATAATAATATCCTTATTGAATATCCTTTTTAGAATATCCTTTTTATTAGACTTAAGGAATGCATGTAGCTTAAGAGAGGTAAATTGTAGGTTAATGTGACTATAAGTACTATTATTAATCTAGATTTTAACAAGGTGATCAGATTTTTATTTTTAAACTGGTCTTACAGTTAGGTACTTACTATATATTTTTCAATAGATATACTCGATGATTTATAAATGTTTCAAACAAGTAAAGATATTTGGACTTTGGAAGTATTCACTTGTATGTATTGTTGATGGTTGAGATTATGGATTTTAATATTTTCAACTTTAAAGTGAAGGTAGCATTAAATGAAAAAAGTTTTGAAAAACATTTGCCGTCACCCAAAAACAATATTCTTGACCATTTTTGATCAACTAAGGCAAATTAATCCTCTTTTTGATAAATATATTCAGCGAATAGCTGCATAAGCTTATAGGTCAAATTTTGATGATGAAAGTGGTGAAATGGTAGTTTAGTGGCAGTCTTTTAAAACATGTTCCAGTTGACGCAGTTAAACATATTTTGCAGATTCTCTACACAAGTTGGATCGGTATACTAAGCAACTGGCACCAAATTATTGTTCGAAATAGGAAATCGTATATCTATAAAAAAACTAAATACCAGTATCAATTGAATCTAAAATAAGATTTTTTATTAGTATTTTTTACATGAGCTATTTCTCGACTGCAACATTGTGCCTTTCTTTAAATTGATAACTATTATTTAACATAGGAATAATTTAGAAGTTTTAAAAAATTATAATAAAATCCTTAACAATTAATTAATATACTGTCTGAATTCATTTTATATGATATGGCCTACGAATTTTTTTACATGATTGATAATGAGATAAGATATTAAGTAATAGTAATAATATAAAAATCAATTATTAAATATTAATTCTTATCGTTTAAAATTAAAATATCTTTAATGTGTGCTTGGTAAGACCATTTCATTTGTTAGAGATGTTTTAAACATCTGGTCACTTTGTATAAAAATTTACACATTCTGAGAAAATCAGACGAAACGTATTTAAAGTAACTAGATCTGAATACTAAATAGATATTACTTTTGCTATAAAAACTTCATATATATCCGTTTTCGATAAAATTTTACGTGGATTAATATTTGACCAATATAGTATTACCATAACTTCTTTAAGCTTAGTTTTAGATATAGTAGTGATATCTTTGAGATTTTAGTCAAAATGAATGCATTCATTCTTGGACTGATACTTTTGTTATACGAGGTTTTAGTAACCAATATTTGAACAAAATGATTCAAAATAAGGTTGTAACATAATAAAACTTATAGGTTGAAAAATGTTGGAATATGTGGTCGGTCATTAACAGAGGAGACATATTATTTGCCAAATTCTAATATAATCAGAATATTTTAACAGAATTTAAATTTTTCATTTTGTAGTGTATTTTAAACTCGAGCTCCTACATATTTTTTAAAATATGCATTTGTCAGTATTATAAGATGATTTAATACTTTCCTGTAATCAAAAACTACATATTTTTGAAAAAGTTTATTTATTTTTTAATTTTGACATTAAATACCAAATTATCTTATACCAAAAATTCTGCAGTATCTCTATGTTGTCTTTTGAAATTCAGGCAAGCAGCCATTTATTAGAATTTTTTTTCTAAAACCATAAATAAACAACATGTTTCCCATATAATATAAACTTCAGGTAGCCAGGGTATCATTTTTGAAATACTATGCTTTTGTCAACTATTCATGGAAGATACTAACAAAAAAAAATAAGGAAATGGTGGTTGTTGAAAAGTGGAAATCGATGTACTTAGAGCTTATATTTCTGCAACATGGAATATTTTTTGATCCTGCCTGGAAAATCTGCATATATCAGGAAATTATTTTATCAAAATATAGTATACACCTAGGTAATCAAAAGGGCAAATAGTATATAAGTGTACAGGGTGTTGCAATATTTTACCAATAAATTGTTAAGGTGATTAATTCGCTTACCAAAAAAATATGAAAAAATTTAATATTAACAGGCCTGCTAATACTTTATTTTTTAAATATAGGCTAATACAAGTTTGTTAATTTTTAGTTATTCTGAATTGTTTTACACATTTCCTTACAGATGGATTGGTGATGGAACAACTCGAATGAAAAATCGAGTACTACTTGATTCTTACAAACTGTCGCTGTTCTCGGATACTTACTAAAAATACTCAAATACTTTTGAATTCTCGATAGTGGGAAATATACGAATGGACTTAAATCAGTTACTGATTTAGCATAGCGAATGAATTGGAAGAATTTGATTACCTTTAGTTCTCGGTGGTTATCAAAATAAATAGTACTCACTTGAAGAAAAGGATGATTCATAAACAGAAAGAATTTAAAATATTCTAACATATATCTACACGTTATTTATGATTTTAAAAATATTTCTATTGAACATTCTAAAGAACATATTGAAATAATAAAATAATAATAAATAAGAATAAATAAGAACATATTGAAATAATAAAATTTTCTACACAAAACTTGATGTAATAAAAATGTACCCGGATTATAATATTCAGCATTCAATGTTCGATTTTTAAAAGTATCCAAAAACCAAGTACTCGATTTTTTAAAATTCTCAATTCTGCCCATCCCTAGTATCGATAGTCCTATTCAATTGTCTCCAGATTTGAAATCATACAACAATGTTACTTAAACTTAGCCAACTACTTAAGCTAGCCGGCAATCACATAGAATGCAACTGTGCTTTGTCATTTGGATAACATCAAAAGCTAAAGGACTAATTAGATTGTTTTTATTAAAGAAAAATCGGTGCCATAACATCAATAGAATTTGGAGGGGCTAGAGGGATTGTAGGAATTTGAGAGAAACAATTAGAATTTTACAAATGCAGAGTATGTAAATCTAAACTTACTGCAGTTATGGATAAATCATACAGAATCAAACCTATTTAATTTTAATTGCCACAGATTGATTCTGGGGACTGGCTCTTGAAGCCACCATTTGAAACCACCATTCTTATTCTAAAACAAAAATAAAACTCGACAACCAAGTCTGTAAGATTCTATAGTACATATTAAGCAGCCCATAAATTGAATATTTTCATATTTATACACAAATATGGATTCTACGAGTTAACTCGTAGTTGGTACTAGTGCCTAGATCAAATACGAGATAATTTATAGTTAGTCGACATGTTAAGTGAACAGCCTAGTATTAAATGTTATTTATTTTTTTACGAAATTATGTTAATCTTTGGTGCATAAATATAAGCTAACAAAAGATACGAAGTAAAATTTTGAAATAAAGGAGATAATGAAATCTACTTTTGGTAAATATCAAATTTAATTGATTATATGTTTCATAGCATGGAATGGTCAAGATTCTGATCCAATGACATCAGATAGGTTATTTACAACTTTTTCTGCTGATGAACGTTTAGTATTGTATGATTATTGTGTACAAAATACTGAACATCCTCCAATACCCAGTGAGTTTAACATGTAAGTATTACAAGGAACATTACAAATTTATTTAATTTAGTAATCTGTCACAGCGAGGCATAATTTATAAATATTGTACGCATAATTGCCCATTTGAAGCATACTTATCTAAATTGTTTCGTAATAACTTTAACATATTGGAAAACATTTTATTTATACTCCGCGGTCGAAATTATAGAGAGTGATTCAGACATAATATAAAAACACTATTACCATAATGCGTATAAAATATAAAATGATTTTTATACGGTTCAATATTATTTATCTTTGTGCCGCTCGCTACGCACATCGATAGAATCTATAATCGTCTATAGACTGAGTTACACTGAACGTCGATCTATATTCTATCTCTGTCTTTTGCACTTGGTAGGGAATAGGGAAATGCTTTTTTAGTAGGTGTAAACGGACTTGATTTACCAGTCCTGAGAAACGTCATAGCATAAGCGTAGACGATGTGTCTAATTCCATGGCTATAATAAATTTATAAATTAAAAAAACACAAATGTGACGTTTTAAAATGCTGTAATAATTACAATGGATCAAAATGCCGATTATAGCAAACCGTAGAAAATATTAGATGTTATGTTTTATTATCTTTTTTCAATATTTTCTATATCTTGTTGCCTTTTACGCAGACACGCCAATGGATTTTCGTTCTCGGCACGCTTCATCCCCCTTACTAGTCCAAAAGCTAGCGATTAGTCACTCTCTATAATTTCGACCGCGGAGTATAACTGATAATTAAAATGAAAATCAACATTTATATTTCGTGGTTCATATAAATAAAATTCCACACACATTATTTTCAGTTATCAGTTTTTCCAGTTGTTAGCCATTATTGTTATTAACTATATTCTACAGGCTGTTTCCAAAAATCGTGCCAATCGAGGGGAAATTTCTTGTTCAATATTTCTCTTTTTTCTTAACAACTTTAGAAATTTGAAGAAATTTGCTAACTGTTAACAGAAAATTATATTAAGAACCCTATATAATAATATTCTACTTACTGTCTACTGACTAAAAAAGTCAAGTCAATGGTGCACATACTTAACAAAAATATTTCAGTGTCTATAGTTACAGCACTGGTGAAACTGTCTACACTGACTTTTCAATAGGCTGTCTTTACAATCTAATTTAAATTTTTACTATATTTTGAAAAACACAAGAAACAACACATAGGTAACAACCACACGGAAACAAGTTATATTTAAAAAAAAAGATGTATATCTATTATTTGGTTACGGACGGACTAAATAGAGCCCAAACTGGATAGTAAATATGCGCTACTCCCATTCCATCATTCATTGCTGCGCGACGGTAACCATATCACTGTTTTTCAAATATATAAGAGCAAGGTTAATATTTATAACTCATTTTTATTTGCAGACAAATACAAGATAAGAAAGAAGAAAAGTTTCTTACACAGGAAGAGTTATTAGCGAAAGAAAGAGATGCTAAACGTCGTAGAATAAAATATAAATCAGTACACACCAGCCGCAGTAAAAAATATACTGAAGTTATTAAGGAAGTTATTGACAATCAGATGGAACAGTACAAAGATTACCTAGCAAGCAAAATGGAGGTAACTTCAAGCCAAACAAGTCCTAGTGCTAATCAAGTTAAGGAACAAGATTCATATCATACCAGCACTGACATAGATATTTTAACAAAAGAAAATATGAATGATATCGAAAGACCTAGTTCATCTATCAGTCATTACAGTAATCATTCAGGCAGTTCAAGGAGTAAAAAGGAGTATAAGTATGAAAAATTGTACAAGAACCACAATCATGATTCTGATTGTAGAAGGAATTATAAAGAATATGACAAGAAACATGACTATAGCAATAAATATGATCACGGTTCATATAAAGAAAATAGGAGACACAAAGACTTTGAAGATGATTACAGACATTCAAGAGATAAAAGAGGATGGTATAAATCAGAAAGGAGGCATTGATATTACCTAGTGCATTGTTATTTATCTAAAGTATATTTTTTTAATAAATAAAGTTTAAGTTATCCCTTTTTAATGATTTTACGATCTTTCTTTTTTTTAATATATCATAATATGTCATTAGCTCATTGCGAATATCAAAAGAGTTATAGTTTCAACTCTCAAAAATAATTTAATTTTATGCATGCTAGACGATCAAAATATAGTGTTCCATTAAGAAATATTATTTATGATTTGGAAATGTAATTAAAAAATTTAAACACTTGGTATATTATTCTAAAATTTATTTGATATAAAATATATCATTTAGTATCAAAAACTGCATGTCGTATCAAAAAGTTATAAAATTCTTAAAGGACCTTTTCTTTCTTTTCTGTTAATTTTGGAAATGGAATATGTACTCTGAAGCAACTGGCTTAGGCATACATGTTTTGGACACAAAATTTTATATATTCAAATTTGCAAAAATATATAGGATGTTTTTCAAAAGGAGTAGCACAAATGACACTGATGGAACTATAGTTAAAAAGAACACACTGCATAAAAATGAGTAAAATATTCATCCCTTAGAAAACAGCCCTTCAAAGTTTTTAAAATGGAAAATCAGCTATACCTAATTTAAAAATAAAAAAGGTACCTACCTACTAATGTCAAATTTTACACAAATTTTCTAATGCAGGTACAAATTTTCAATAATTTTTCAAAATTTCTGCATCCCTTAAGTTATTTTTTGCTACAACTTTTCAGATAACTGGTTTATTTTTAAATGTTCTCTCACTTTTTTGCTTTAAAGTTAACCGTTTATTAACAAAAAAATTAAAATCGTTATTTTTACTTTATTAGAATGTTAAGCTAATTCAATAAGATATTCCTAAAAAAATCTATCATGAATTTATTTAAATTAGTTTAATACCTTTATAATACAGTAAAAATGTGTAATGTATTTTTAAAAAATCATTCACATCACAACTCGTGATTGTTAAGCATACTCAAGAGAACTATTTCTCTTGTGTATGAAGTAGACAGCTTTCATGCTAATTTCCGTCATTACATGTTTTGTAAGTACTTGGATTTGTTATTCTATAATTTAATTTTTTATGATCTGGGTAAAATTTTGTCACAATTTTGCTAATGATCAATATGTTGACATGCCGTAAATAAACTGTACCGCCGCAAGAAAAGCATGCCATCAGATGCACTCGCCTAGTTCCCCTCAGACAGTCTCCCGGCAAAAAGAAAATGACTTAGGAACTGGAAAATACAGTCCTATCTTAAGGGAAATGAATGCTCAATATTTGCCCTTTTGATTTTAAAATTGCAGCCAATTTTCCATTTTTTGTATCTAATTTTTATACAAAACATGTTCTTTTTAAATATAGGTTCACCAATACCATTTGTGCTTCTCCTTTTGAAAAACACATTTTTGCAAATTTGCAATAAAACATTTATTATTAACTATTACCATCACTTGGTCATACATAACTCAATAAGTTGTTGTGTCAAAATAAAACGTTAATTTTATTATGACAAATTAATTCGTAAAAATGCATATGAACAACCAAAATGCCAACTGAATAATATATTCTTTAAAAATTTTCAGTAAATGTTCAAAAACATTTTCATTTTGGCAAAGGTTGAAAATGAAGATCAGCGTAATATTATCGGAATTTATTATATCTGTAACCACAACTGTGAAAGAGCATGTCAGATGTATTTGTATGAATATCCTGAAAAAAATAGATCGGAATTTGTTTGAATTTTGAGCACTCAAGAAGCCTGGAAATAACGATACGGGAATAAAACTAATAATTTTTTATTTTAATGCGTGGTGGTAATAGTTTAAATAACTAGATGGATTTCACAGGGTCTAAGGACACTTACAGTGTACAATAATTCAATAAACAAAGAAATCTAAATAAAAAATTTAGATAAATTTGTTACGAATACACTGAAGATGAATTTTTCGAGACAAAACGTCTGAATCTGGTTCGGGCTGAGGCAGTGCAATATTAGGGGTCATGAAGGCCTGCAAAAAATGTAATAAAATTTCTATGGTTGTATTTAAAAAATGAAGTTGATGATGGTCCTGGACAGAAGAAACGTTACATATAAAAATTGATTATGCCAATCAATAGAGGGCAAAAAGTGGCTATGAGAAAGTGTTCTTTTTTCAGTATCACCTCAAACAAGGCTGAAACGAAACAAAAATGATTTCCAAAATTTTGGCTCTTTTCAAATATTTCGAAAACTAATCATGTTAGCCTTGATTTTTTAGAGGATTCCTGTAGTGAAAAGCGAATGTAACAGCCCGTATATACAGGGTCGGAAAGTCCCCATGGTTCATTGGCTGTTACTTGAGAGGCGATAAAGTAAGTCGTAGAAATCCGTGCGATAGAGAAAGATGGCTATAATGAAGGCGTCTAATAGTCACCCCCCATTTTGCCCTTCCACAAATAAGAAGTGGATCTTATTTGTGGAAGGGCAAAATTGGCGGTGACTATTAGACGCCTTCATTATAGCCATCTTTCTCTATCGCACGGATTTCTATGACTTTATCGCTCTCACGTAACGGCCGATGAACCATGCGGACTTTCCGACCCTGTATATTGTTTGATAAAAAATATTTTGCAAATACACACATGTGCCACACTATTTTTAGGATTGGCCATCCTTATTTTCTCATTTTTTTTGAATGATCAATTTAATATTTGCGAGTCGTCGTGAGTGCTGACTTTAATTCAAAAATTAATAAAAACAAATGTATAAATAATTCGAAAATAGTAAAATCGTCAAAAAAGCTCTAATATTTTTGAAGTGTTTCAAAATTTTTTACTGTGCTTGAAACCCTCTTAATCTAATTCGGGCTTGTAGTCCTTTTCACAAGCGCTTAGTACTTAATTACTTCTCAAAGTAATTGGTATTTTAGAGTCCTTTGATTTCAAAATGTAATTGGGGCTTCAAGGAGAAGTGAGAACAAACCACTTTAAGAACTTGGGGCTGTGAGCCTGGAGCCCATTTTTACGAGGATTTCACCCAACTCTGGCTTCTAAATCTTCTAAATTATTTGAGAAAAGAAACAAATTTCACAGTAAATATGTCACTAAGTTGTATTTTACAAAGGGTATATACAAATATACTGTTTTAAGAAAGTTGCAGAAATAAGTATTTAAAATCGATAAATAGGAAACAGTATTTTTATTTATAACATTTGTTTCTTATTAATTTCTATATGAATAATCAAAAAATATATATGTATATATCTTAACATAAACAATGAGTCATAAATCACCACCTATACAATAAAATCTAAAATAAATAGTTCAACACTATTGTTCCTTCCGAGGTAGTCACAGGTTTTTCACATTGGCTTTTTCTTTGAGTTGCTGCTGGTAGCTAAAATGAAAATTTATATAAGACATCCTGAATATTAGTACAAATATGGTTTTCTTTTTGGTATCTAAGAAAGAATTAAAGAAATCTAAGGTTAAAATTTGCTATGTCTAGTTCAAAATTTTCTATTGTTTTTTATAGCTGTTTTACATTGACAATTTATTCATCAATAAATTGACGAAGTTCTTCATCAATTAATTCACGAGTTTATTGATAAACAGTGTGGTTTTACACTGCTACAGACTTTGTCACGTTTTTTGACGTATGATCAGTTCTACCAATGAATCAAAGATGCAAATAAATTTCAAAAATGTCACCTTTCCACTCATAATTGTAGTGATACAACAGCAGTACCGTTCTGACACATATTATATAAATATTAGTTTTTGTAAATAACAAATCAGTAAAAACAATGCAAAACTAGCATGACGTCATACAATTATTTACATATTCCAATAACATAACCTCATTACTGATCTGAGGGTGGAAATTTGTTGGGTTGGTACTTCCGAACTTCACAAAGAAATTGACGAAACTTAGAACATGCTCTAATTCGTCAAGAACTTGATGAATAAATTGGAGTTATTTGACAGCTGATTTAATACATTACACTTATCCAATTTCTTGATTAAGCGACTTCATCAATTAATTGATCAATAAATTGTCAATGTATAATATATGAAATTTAGTTAACCTATGACAGAAAAGTTTAAAAGGAAATCATTTCAAACATGGAAATAGTTAATTAAACTCTTCATCGGTTAAAACCAAGGAAAATGGGAGTCATCAGTTTGAAAAAATATATATATAACTGAAATATTTACAAGATTCTGGTGCTTCCAGTTTTACCAAATGTCAACAACAATGTTATGCAAATGCAACAACATTTTAATGCATATTTGATTATTCCAAAATATGAACCATTAGAATTCAGTAAAATTTCTATAATCCGGCACTTCATTACACCAGCACGTCCAGTAATCCGGCGTTATTTTTTCCGCGTTTGTCTACTATCCTTGAAGAATACAGTTTATACAGTTATAATTTAGTTGAAAAATTATTTTACAGAATCATAAAAACATCACAATATACATACATATGCACACGCAAATGTAATATATATGTTGCGTCCGTGACCATGTACCAATCTCTTTGTTAATAAACAATTAAAAGTAATGTTTTTAATTTAACATTATTTACATTATACATATTCCGTAAATTCGAATTTTCCAGTACTCCGGCAGTCTTAGGTTTTTAATGGTGCCGGATTAATGAGATTTTACTGTATAAGAATTTTGATACAGAAACATAGTGACATATATAATGCAATAAAAATAAATAATAAAGAATACAATGAACTTACCTAACTGCTCTATATAATTGATAAAGTTGAGTAATGGCTACAAAAACGTTTACACTAAATAGAGAGTAATTTTTTGGGATAATAACTAGAGAATATCTAGACCAAATAACACCGGTTGCAGCTAAAGCAGTAGTTTGAGCAGGACTAATTGTATCTGCAGGTCGGGTTAAATCAGCAATTCCTGCAATAACTAAACCCTGTAACGAAAAAAAACAAATATATATAAAATATACAGTACGCGGCTAAAGTATGGAATAAAATCAGTAAAAACGAAACAAATTTTTTTTGGGAAAAATCTTCGATCAGGTCGATTTTTAATTTAAAAAATACATATTTTAGCATAAAAGGCGATTTTCAACTGTCATTTGTTTTCGAGTAATGACGTCATCAACATTTTTTTTCTTGATTCTGAAAGATCGTTTCATTGTCAATCCGACAGTATTAAAATGTTGCCATCTTACATAGGAAAGTTTTCGAGTAAATGACGGTTGAATGTTAGAAAACGTAAATTTTATGCATTAAAAAAATAACAATTCCTATGTCAAGCAAATACAATTCATTAAGTTTTCTACCTAAATTAAGTTTTCGAATTGCCACCCACCGACTTCTTGACAATACGCAAGTCTGTGTAGAAATTCTTCTTGCGCATTATGAATTATTTCTGGGGTAACTCGGTGTATTTCATCTATAATACAATTTTGGAGTTATTCTAAATTATGTGGTCTACTAACGTACACTTTGGACTGTAAGTAGCCCTATAAGAAATAGTCCAGGGGTGTAAGATCTGGGGATCTCGCGGGCCATTCCATCGGTCCTCGTCTGCTGATCCACCTCCTAGGAAAACAAATGTCCAGAAAATCTCGAACAGGGCGCGCATAGTGTGGAGGTGCACCGTCTTGCTGAAACCATATGGTGTCATCAGGAATATCGGGGTCATTATCGTTAGGAAAAATTACTGCAAGCGCTGGAACAAGGTCATTTTGTAAAAACTAAATATCTTTCTCCTGTAAGGGTTCCTTCAAAGAAGAAAGGCCGTACTATTCTGTTGTCAACTATTCCAGCCCACACATTTAATTTCTATAGGTGTTGGGTATGTGTCTCTGCCATCCAATGAGGATTCCCGACTCCAATACCTGCAAGTTTGACGGTTCACTGTACCATTGAGATAAAACGTGGCTTCGTCTGAAAAAAGTATTTGTCGGTGTAAATCTCTATTTATGTGACATAAATCCATCATAATTTCACCAAAAGTGTAAGCGGCAGTCGTAATCGTCTTCATTGAGTTCCTGCACAAGTTGAATTTTGTAGGGATGATATTTTTCCTTCCTCAGGATACGTAGCACTGTGGTTTGACTAATTTCATTATTTAATGCAACCAATCGTGAAGTATTATGAGGATTATCTACCATACTTATCAAAAAGTTCTGTTTGTGATCTTCACTAACGCTTGGACATCCAGGTTTTGGAATATCTACAACATTGCCAGTTTCTCTAAATTTAGATTCTATCTTACTAACTGTTGATAGGCTGATATGGCAATCTGGACGTTTTTCATTAAATAAATCACAAACTTCCTGCTGCATTCTAGTCTTATCCCCGCATCCAATAAGAATTAACATTTCAATTCTTTGTGTGACAGTTAAATGTGCCATAATACTTTAAATCCAACAATAATTTTTATATCGCTTACAATACTTAGAAAGTCGGTATGATAGTGACACTTTGTAATGATTTACACCTACGTGATCCATAAAAAACTTTGCATTTGGAAAAACTAATCATAATAAATTTGATAACGTTTTTGCTTTATTTTAATTGATTTGGGTTTTCTAACATTCAATCGTCATTTACTCGAAAACTTTCCTATGTAAGATGACAACATTTTAATACTGTCGGATCGACAATGAAACGATCTTTCATAATCATGAAAAAAAAATAGGGGGTTGCTATCTAAAAAAAATGTCGATGACGTCATTACTCGAAAACAAATGACGATTTAAAATCGCCTTTTATGCTAAAATATGTATTTTTTAAATTAAAAATCAACCCGATTGGGGATTTTCCCCAAAAAAAATTTGTTTCGTTTTTACTGAGTTTATTCCATACTTTAGGCCCCTACTGTATTCTTCTATTTAGTTATTGCAATATACAGGGCTGGAAAATCCACATGGTCCATCTGCCTTTACATGAGAGCGACAAAGTAAAGTAAAGAAATCCGTGCGATAGACAAGGATGGCTATAGTGAAGACATTTCATAATCTGAATAGTTACGGCCCGTTTCGGGTTAGAAGTGGGAGTGACTATTCAGATTATGAAATGTCTTCAATGTAACCATCCTTGTCTATCGCACGGATTTCTATGACTTACTTTATCGCTCTCACGCAACAGCCGATGTACCATGGGGACTTTCTGAACCTGTAGACTATGACAAATGTAAAGATTATTTATACAGGGTGTCTCGCATATGATCCGACACAGGGCAGGTGCATTTAGTGAATTAATATTACTATTTTTATTTTATTCGGTCAATGAAAAAAAAGTTTGGTACAATTTTAGGGGTGAGTCATCCCCAATGAACACCTTGTAGTGCTTCAATTAACTTTAAATCATAGTCAAAGAAGACCAGTAGTAAACATGTACCAAATTTGGTTCTTCTACAGTAAAGTTTTGCAGATTTGAATTTTTTTCGAAATTCAGGGCCCCACTTTGGGGGCTAATAACTCAGGGGTGCAACTTTGTATATAGGTAAGTTTGGTTAAATTACAATATTTTAGACACTCCTACATGCACCTGTCCTGTGTCGGTTCTTATGCGGGACACCCTGTATATCGTAAATTGAGATTTTCAAAACAAGTGAACTGTTAACTAAAGAATATAGTAAAATACTGTATCAATGGTCACAAAATTAAGTACTTATAAGTAGATAAGATCAAATTCTGTTATGAAAATCGCTGGTTTAACAAAATTGTTAAATTAATAGGTAATTTACGAAAGTGTTTGTTTTCTAATTGAGATAATACATTAACTAAACAAAATCATTGGGCAATTCCTCTAAATAAGTGAACAATTTAAGATTTCTCAGGCATATTGAAGAAACAGTTTTTATTGTAAGTAAAGGTTATAAAATACTTACCCATTTAAAAACAGGAGCCCAAAAAAATATTGTTTTTGGACCTAGAACAAGACACAAATCTAATATTTGAATATTATTACATAATAAAACAATACCTGCAGGGTGCCTCCACAAAGGTTGCAATTTGTGTGGTACAAATTTATCTAAATATGCCATAGATTTTTGATAAATTAGAGACATGTTTTTTTATTTAAATTTCACCAAGCTTAACCTTAACAATTCACAAGGTGATATTCATTTATAAAAGATAAAGGTCAAGTGTTATGTATCCACATGTAGATAAGGTAGTACCTAATCAACTTAATTATCCACTAGATAGATCACTTCTATTTACTTTTAAAAATCTGTAAATGTAATGTTATTGTAAATATTGTTTTAACATGAAGTTTATAATATATTTTAAATTATGTATTAAACAGAACTATACTATTATGCAATTAATACTCGAAAACAGATAATTAATACTTTGGTTAAGTATACTTGTTAGTTTATTCTGGTATAACATTGTGACACACGTCAGTCACATAATACATAATTTATTAATTTATCAATACAAGTCATAGAAAATACAGTACTAACGTAAACGTAGAATTAAATGTCCCTAATATTGCCAATAAACCGCGAAACAGCGCCATGTAACGTTTTGGAAGCTTACTACCACTTAGCTCCTAATGAGTAGGCAACACTTTATACTTTGTGAACTGATTACAGCGCCATCTATCGTATGCAAACGACTTCTCACTTATAACCTCTATTTATTATTTTAAAAATTTTTAAAGTAAACCTTTATACAAATATAGGAATAGTCAAGTGTCAATACTTTTGAGAACAGATTATTTAGTTAAACAGAAAATGTAGCGAAAAACTAATATTCTTTTATACTTTTCTAATTCACTTCTGCTTTGATAACGAAACTAGAGGTTTCAGGAACGTCATAGTGTTATTGTGATGTATATTTGCTTTCCCAGTGCGTAACCAGACTTATACATGTAGATGTATGATGTATGTCTCTGGCATCTCACTATTAGGCAAAAGCACAGAGTACCAACCAGAGATCCGAGTTGATAGGGAAAAGTTGTCTCTGTTTTTTATCTTTCTCTGACCCTTATTAAACCCAATACTTCTCTCTTTGTCGCTTTAAATGTAAAACAGAGGTAGGCGGAGCTAGTGCTCGTTATCGGTATAGAAGAAATTTGAAATGGGTTTGGGAAATAATAATGTTTTTGATACAATTTGGTAGGTGGCGCTGGGTGGAATATATTGATGAGATCTATTTTTTGAATTTTATAAAATTCGACAGATGGCCAGATAAGAAAACGAGAAGTTGATAAATTCAATATACGTTCAGTAAAACTTATATGGTCTACAGAAATTAGTTAAATTTAAGCAATGAAAATAATATTCTAAATAATAAATAATAATAATAAATAAAATATTATTAACATTATGACGATCGCATTTTATATAACCTACGCCTAGGTTGCAGGTAAGTACGTAAGTAAGTAGTTTATATATAGCGCGCGCCATTATTCCATGGCTAGAAATTGGCCTCAATGATTTGGGATCGAGGAGGATTATCCCTCTTTATCCTGCCTCATCTCGTGTAGGCCTGGACAGCCTTCGTAGGTGGGCCCCATCCGTCGTCTACCCCGACCGCAAATGCGGCCGGTGTAGGCGCTTTGTGGGACCTCCTTTTGTCCTGGCTGGGCCCCGCCGGCTAGGGCCCTTTCTTCTGGCGCTCTTCTTGCTTCGCCGGCTCGTCTGTGTAAACCCCGGGGGTAGTGTCATGTTTATGTGTGGTATGGTTGGGTAGGGTAGTGCGGCTATGCAGCCTGGGATGCGCTTTGCTAAGGTGGCCCT